CCTGCTTTATATAAAATGTTCAGACTCAGATTTAGGTGTCTCATGTAGATTTCTGGCTCTCCGAGTCAGTGCCTGATTGTGTACCAGACGTGAGTAGGGAAGGAGGCAGGTTTGAAAATGGCAAGGTCCCCGGCCGTGTTCGCCCGGTAGAAAGGAAACACCGCTGGTGAAGATAGCCCGAGGACGAAGGATGAAGGCTCATGGGGGAGGAAGGGAGTGTTACGTTTGGCTTGAGCGTCACTGCATTGAAAGTGACAGAAGATCTTCAAACACAGGTCGCCTTGTGGTTGCACGAAACAGAGGCGCCCTCCCAAGAGACAGGGCTGTGGGAATTGGACACAACGAAGGCAACAGCTGAAGCTATGAGAACGGATGACGCAAACGTTCAGATCAGAGGGTCCATGACGGGGCATGAGGGAGTCCTCACTGACAAGAACCAGAGTAAGAAATACATGGCAACTTGAAGAGTATGAAAATAATCAGGTTTCGTCACAGACATGGAGGGCCAACCAAATGAAAATAATTTCCAAAAATCGATTAAAACAACCTGATGTAAAAGAGGGAAAAGGACACTGTACAAGCCCTGTACATAGAAAGGAAAAGCACTGGCATTTAATCAAGACTTTGATCCTGCTGGGTGTACGTGTGTGTGTGTGCGCGTGCGTTCGTGCGTGCGTGTTTTCTAAAGTAGTTTATTGCAACTTTTAAAATAATTTTGCAGTTAAAAAAGCCTAACCATTAATGTAGTTTATTTTTTCCAAAATGTCTTATTCTCAGACATGATATATACATATTTCAAAATTTCATCCTATTTTACTTTGGAAATTATTTTAGACAAAAATGGCAGCTTTAAATACAAAAGACTGCTAATGATGTTTATTCTTGTAATCACAAACAATTAATGTGAAGGAAAAATAAGTGCTTATTTAACTCAAGAAAACTTCTAATGAAAAAAAGAAAAATGCGTTTAAATTTCCTAGAGCAAATGGGTGATGTCTAGTCAGTAGAAAAAAAAAAGGGGAATTTGTTGTGCTGCCAACAAGGAAGTCTTGATAAGCTCAGTGGAGCAGAAAATTGCATCCGAGCTAAGTTGTAGGTGTGAGATACCTGACTGCATTAAGTAGTTTTTGGGGAAAATCACCACTAAACAGCAGAAAGCTCTGCTCATATCTGATTAAGTTAAGGGGGCATTGCCAGCTAATTCCTCATTACCTTAAAAACATCTGTTTCAAAGTTTAAATTCCTAAAGTCATTCCTTTCTAAGAGCTGTCCTCACTATTTTTCCTATTTGTGTCTAAATGAGTCTGTGATCCTCCCCTGCCACCCCCGCTCTCCCGCTGGATGTGGCTCATTTGCAAATAAAAACCATAAACCTGAATAAACCTATCCTAAAAGGAAATAAATGTGGAGAACCAAAGGTCCCTTTAAGTTATTTTGCTATTACAATCTCCCCTTTTCCATCCATGTACATTTAGTAGACTCTTTTCAGGGTGGATGAAGTGTCTGTGCACCTCTCAATTGTTCTAATAGATGATTGTCTTTATGGTTTCACAGAGATGCTTGCTTTATGCTAGGTAAAGACCAAATGAGTAGCTGCAAGAGTGAAGAGCAACTCAGTAATTCTCCGAGC